ACTTCCGTAGTGATACTGCCTCGGAAACCCAAGGAGGGGTCGCTATGAGTCGGGCCCGACTCCATGGCAAATAACAACAACAACAACAACACCTTAAAATACAGGCAGTCCCCAAGTTAGGAACATTTGACTTATGGACAACTCCTATTACCCTTTAATGTCAGGTAAATTTGCCCTCACTTTGAAACAACTGAACTAAGCTACTGCCATTGAGCCAATTCCTACAAGACAGAGTAAACTGCCCCATTGGGTTTCCAAGGCTGTAAATCTTTACAGAAGCAGACTGCCTCATCTGCATGGAGCAGCTGGTGGGTTCAAATCACTTTTTGGTTAGCAGCCCAATCAATGCCTTACTCACTGCACCACCAGAGCTCCTTGAATTAACCCCTACTCACAACAAATTTGGGAGCTCTGGTAGCACCGTGCCTGAGGCACTTGACTGCTAAGCAGAAGGCTGGCGGTTCAAACCCACCAGCCACTCCTCAGAAGGACGGTTGGGCAATCCTACTTCTGTAGTGATACTGCCTCGGAAACCCAAGGAGGGGTCGCTATGAGTCAGGGCCGACTCGATGGCAAATAACAACACAACAAATTCTTCATCACAATCACTTTCACTTCCTGCACATGCAGCTCTTAAATCACTGAAAAGGCTTTGAGCCTTTTCTTGCACTGAAGTAAAGCTACATAAGAGCTGTATGTACCTGGTCCAACTCATCTACAAAAATTCATTTAAAGACTTAAAGACACAGAGTTAGGAACTGATCTCGTTCATAATCCATGGACAGCCTGTATGTTAAGAGACAAACTAGACTGTGGTGGTTAAGTTTGTGTGTTAACTTGGCTGGGCAGCTGGTGGTAGTTATTCCCCATGATGAGACCGGTAATCAACTCCATGGTGGGACCTACCACAAGCAGCTGAGTAGCTGCTTTAGGGATGTGGTCTGGTTTCCATATATAAGAAACAGCTTTAGGAATGGTCTCTAGCTTATAGCACTCTTGAACCCTGCACATAGCCGTGTCGTTGTTCAACAGCCTGCCATGCTCTGCTGACCTTGAGACTTTCAATGGACTTGAGTTAATGGCCTGCCGTGTGGTTTGGTAACATCGGGACTGTGCCTTTTAACTTGTCAACCTTGGGCTTGTCAGTCTCAGCAGCTAGAAGCTGTCTGAGTGAAGAAAAGCCTCTAGCTTCAGTGGACCAGGGGCAGGAGGCAGAGCTGAACCCCAAGGTTGAGGGGCTTTCACCCAGCCCCTAGGGCCTGGCACTTTGAACTTGGACTTAAAGCCTTCAAACTGTAAGAAAACAAACTCCTGTTTGTTTAAGCCATCCCATTTGTGGTATATCCTTGTCAGAGCGGCACTAGGTAACTAGAACATAGATATTAAGACACAGAAAATAAGAATCACTAAATGGAATTTTATCACATTACTAAGATACAAACACACACACACACATACATAAGTATCTTCAATAATACACTGTATTCCTTTTCTGTTGCTGCTATAACAAATTACCAAAAATTTAGTGGCTTAAGACAACACCTGTTTATTATCTCACAGTTCCCATGAATTAGGAGTTTGGGCACAGCATGGCTGCTGAGAGTCTCACAATACCAAATCAAGGTGTGTACAGCACTGTGCTCCAAGCTCATCCAGGTTGTTGGCAGAACTCCATTCTATGAAGCTGTAGGACTGAAGTTCCTGTTTCCTTGCTTGAGGTTGGCCAGGGTCATTTTCAGCCACCAACTTCCTCCACCTATAAAGCCAGCCACAGCAAATGAAGTCCTCTTCATCTTGCAGCTGTCTCCCTTTCTGCCTTGGCTCTCCTACCTTAGGAAGCTCAGGGTTCAAGCAATTATTGGGCCCACCTGGACAATGGAGGTTAATCTCCCTATCATAATCAAGGTCTTAGTAACCTTCATTAGTTCTGCAGGACCTAGATTAGTGTTTGAATGAATAACCAGGGTATCCTTAGATCTCTAGTCCTGCCTAACACACATACACCAAAATTCCATACAGTAACACATAAAAACACACACATATAAGACACTGCAATGCAGCAATTGAAGTCAACTGCTATTCAAGTTTTATTTCTACAAACTAATTGACAATGTACTTAAAATTACAGGTAAGGCTTTCTTAAGTTCATTAAAAGGAAAAAACAAAAAACTTTGCCAATATGTTCTTAGGAAATATAAGTTCAAACACTGCAAAGACAAGACTGACCTAATTCTGCTGCACAGGGGAAATGAAGAAATACCTGCACATAGCCTCGAAATAGGGCTACACAGATCAAAACAGATACAAAAACAGAGACCACAATGCCACGAAACCACAATGCCAGTAGTCAATAAATGGTAGGTGTTCATTCATGTCCCATCTCCCAGCTAGATTTCAGTGGTGAAGGCCCATTCCCATCGTTATGTCCAGAGTGAATCATCTCTCTCACAGTCCCCTAAAAGTCTGTCTTAAATGTAGAAACACATGTTCCTACTATAGTGAACACAAGGTGGTGAAACTTACCTTAACACTGACTTATCAAGCATCCATTTGGCAAGTTTGGTTTGCTCATGACAAACATCAACACCATCTGTACAGCATGCAAGTGTCACCAGCTAGGTTTAGGAAGCTGAGCTGCATGCACATTTACCTATTATTTTTATTACATTCTTAATTTATTTTCAACTTTCTTCCAAAATTATCCTGTTGTTGTTATTGTTATGTGCCGTCATGTCGGACCCAACTCATAGCGACCCCTCCTTGGGTTTCCAAAGGAGTATCACTATGGAAGTAGATTGCCCCACCTTCCTTCCGAGGAGTGGCTGGTAAGTTTGAACTGCCAATCTTCTGGTTAGCAGTCAAATGTCTTAGGCACTATGCTACCAGAGCTCTCAAAACTATCCTAGTAATTCTAATGATTAATCTAACAGTAATAACCAACATTATTGAGAACTATGTATCAAGTATCTTGCTAAACTGTTGTTGTCCTTATGTGCCATCCAGTCAGACCCGACTTATAACGACCCCTCCTTGGGTTTCCAAGGCAGTATCACTATGGAAGTAGATTGCCCAACCTGCCTTCCGAGGAGTGGCTGGTGGGTTTGAACCACCAGCCTCTGGTTAGCAGTCAAGTGCCTTAGGCACGACACTCCCAGAGCTCCTTCTTGTTAAGTACTCAACTCCAATTATCAACTTTAATTTTCACAGATGAAGTAGAAGAGAGGTTAAGGGACTTGCCCCAGGTCAGAGAGCTAATAAGACACAGAGGCAGGGTCTCAACTCAGGTCTGTGTATCTAAAGGCCACACTCTCCCACCAGCTGATCCAAAGTTTCTGGCACTTTTAGTCACAATGATATTACATAATTTCTAATAGCAAAAAGTCTCTAAATTTTATTCCAAAAGAGCATTCTGTTTTAAAAAGCAGAATATAGTGTTCCTAGGCTTCTCATTTAGCCCTTTACTTTCCCCAAATACTGGAAATACTTTACTGGCTAAGAAAGCATAAAAGAGGTTTCTGAACACTACCTAGGCAAAGGGAGCTCTGGTGATGTAGTGCCTAAGGCATTTGACTGCTAACCAGAAGGCTGGTGAACCGCCAGCCACTCCTCAGAAGGAAGACTGGGCAATCTACTTCCGTAGAGATACTGCCTCAGAAACCCAAGAAGGGGTCGCCATGAGTCGCAATGGACTCGACAGCAGTGAGTTTGGTTCGGTTACCTAGGCAGAAGGACAGGTGGCACTGCTCAAAATCCTCGATCTCTTATTAGAAAGAAAAGCAAAATCTGTTCTTTCAACTAAAACTCATCACAATGAGCTTTTTTCCCTTTTAACAGAAAAACAACACTTTTTAAAAGTTTTCAGTAGGCAATTTAGGCTTTCCTCCCCAGCTTCTCATTGCACGTTTTAAGTCTCCAATTATCGGGCCTCTAAATTAGTAAAAACCCAAAATCCACTGTCATCGAGTTGATTCCGACTCATAGCAACCCTATAGGACAGAGTAGAACCGCCCCCACAGAGTTCCCAAGGATGTAAATCTTTACAGAAGCAGACTGTCTCATCGTGGAGTGGCTGGTGGGTTCGAACCACAGAATTTGGGTGAGCGGCCAAATGTTTTAACCACTGTGCCACTAGAGCTCCTTAAAAGGGTGAAAATAATTGTTTAAGCGTCCTGAACTAACACAGTACTAACATCTTTATTATTTCTCTTTATTTATACACTAAAGAGGAGGTAGTAGGCACAGGCGGGTACACAGCGAAAACCAATTTATAGCAGTCACACTTTACCAGAACAAAACTCACTCGCTCCTAACTGGCGAACAAGCAAAAATGATTCAGGGTTTAAAGAGCCCAGGACTCCGACATCCGAAGTAATTTAAGCACCAATACTGCTGGCACAGGAGGCACACAAGTGCCTAAGGCGCTTGACTGCTAACGAAAATGCTAGCGGTTCAAACCCACTAGCCACTTCTCGGAAGGAAGATGGGGCAATCTACTTCCGCAGTGATACTGCCTGGGAAACCGAAGGAGGGGTCGCGATGAGTCGGGTCTGACTCGAGGGCACATAACAACAACACTCCTGGTACAGGGCTGATCCTGAATCTTTTCTGGGCCTCTGCATCCTCAGGACATCATCACATCACGCTTGGGTGGCCTGGGGTTCTAACGTTCAAAAAGCATCAGGATCTAAAGCCGCTACCTCGGACCACACCCCAGGACCAGGACAGTGCTGGGGCGGGGTCAGCTTCACTCTCCCTGGAGCGCGATAACTTAAGGCGAGGCGGACACAGCTGGACGTGTCCCGACTCTAGGCCGTGGGTTCTAAGACCTCCGGCAGATCCAATGTCCGAAAGCAGAACCGGGAGAGAGGCGGGCCGGACAGAACAAGCCAGGAGTCTAAGGTGAGCAGGCCCGCGGCAGAGGTTCGGGCGTCAGCCAGCCCCAGGCAGCCCCCGAGAAAGGCCGCGGCCCAGATATCGGGGGCGCGGGACCCGAAACTCACGTTTGTACTCGGCCATCAGCCTCTTGAGCGCCGTCCCCGCCATCGTCCCAGCAACAGGAGTTCTCAGCAGCTTCCCCTCACCAACCGTCGTCCCTCCTACCCCGACACCGGGGGCTACTTCCGGGTCGCTACCTCCACCACACAAGCCCTTCCGGGTCGCTACTCCAACTCCCGCTGGTACACATTCCCGGCATACGCCTTAGAGCGCTCGGGGCTCGTAGCGTCCCAAGTGCCGCTCCACTCTGGGCCCTCGTCTGGAGGAGGGCTCCGGCCGCGCTCCTCTGGCCGAGCGGCCGTGTGTGGTGCGGCGGGGAGCCGAGCAGATGAAGCTCCTGCAGGATCAATAGTGCCCCTACCGCCTGGGCTGGTCTCTGCGTGATACCAGATGAAGGGCCGACTGTCCTGGAATCCTTGGCGCTTCCGAGTTTGTTAATTACCATATTTTATTCTGTCTGTTTAGTCAGAATATCTGGTTTAGACGGATAAGATCAACGACTACTTCTATGAGGATCTAGCAGCGACGAGGGACCAGAGACCGCAAACGTTACAGCTGAGAAGGGGAGGGGAGGGGGGTGTGGAGCATCGAGTGGGCATCCCTCGCGCGCTCAACTCCGCCTCTAGAGTTAGCCGGTTTGCGGGCAGTGCTGGTGACTGAGCATATTTCATTCCAAGTTTTTTTTTTTTTTTTTTTGCAGTGCTGGTGACTGAGCATATTTCATTCCAAGTTTTTTTTTTTTTTTTTTTAATAACAGCGTCAGTTAAAATTAATACTAGCATGTTGGTCCATTTCAGGAAGGTGACTTTCCTGTAACTATCCTTTTCATTGTTGTTGTTGTTGTTATTTGCCATCGAGTCGGCCCTGACTCCTAGCGACCCCTCCTTGGGTTTCCGAGGCAGTTATCACTACGGAAGTAGGATTGCCCAACCTTCCTTCCGAGGAGTGGCTGGTGGGTTTGAACCTCCAGCCTCCTGGTTAGCAGTCAAGTGCCTTAGGGGTTTGAACCACCAGCCTCTGGTTAGCAGTCAAGTGCCTTAGGCACTATGCTACCAGAGCTCCTATCCTTTTCATTAGGGGTTTTAATTTTTCAGGCCCAATTGAGGCGTAAACCATTTGATGCTTCTTTGGAATAAAACCCCTCAGGCAGGTCTTAAGATTTTAGAATAGAAAGTTGTTGGTTGTCGTGGTTTTATTCCAAGACTTCGAACCAGTTCATTCTGGTGCGACCCTCTGCTGACAATTTGCATTTCCATCGCAGATATTGTTTATCAGAATCTACATTTTAACAAGATTCCCAGGTGATTTACTGATCCCCAGACAGGTTAGAAGCCCTTGCTTTAGTTTTTATTCAACGTGGCTAGGCTGGAACTTAGGCTGAAACTCTGATTCCAGCTCTGCTGGAGTTCCTTCTCTGCAGTTCTAGATCAGAGAAGGAATGGTAGGGAAATAATAATGTGTAGCAGAGCAGCCACTCCTCGGAAGGAAGGTTGGGCAATCTACTTCCATAGTGATACCTCCTCGGAAACCCAAGGAGGGGTCTTTATGAGTCGGGTCCCACTCGATGGCACATTAACAACAACAGCAGAGCAGCTACCCCCTATACTAGTCAGGCAGTGGCTTCATTCTTGCTGCCTGCCACCTCTGCTGACCAACAGTGGCCCCGGGGGTAACTACCCAAAGCAGAGGCAGCAGCCTTCAAGACTTCCCCACAACGCCGTTCACGGTCCAACCCGCTCCGATTCGTTCGTTCCCCTTCCCAGTTGTTTCAGTAGGGCTAAGGAGAATCTTTTCATCTTCCTCCAACTCCCTCATCACCTTTGTTCCTCCCACAGTTGGGCAAAGTTTATTCCTATAACCAGTGAGCCCTTTATCCATCATGTGGTTCTACTCTCCATTGACTTACCAGGTGTCTGGTGATTTTTTTGTTTGACAGAACACACATCCTCAATGACTTAAAGGGAAGTAAGCGTATTGTAGTACCTCGTGGCAGTGCTGTGTATGAAACAGTCCTCATCTCTTGCCTGGATTGTTGTTGTTATGTGCCATCAAGTCAGACTCGACTCATAGCAACCCCACCTTGGGTTTCCGAGGCAGTATCACTACAGAAGTAGATTGCCCAACTTTGTTTCTGAGGAGTGGCTGGTGGGTTTGAACCACCGGCCTTCTGGTTAGCAGTCAAGTGCCTTAGGTGCGGCAACCTCTTGATCTATCTCCCTTTTTGGTTTTCAACATTAGTAGCAGATATAACCCATTTAAAAGATGTCAGATCATATTAACACCCTGCTGCTCCAGTTTTCCTGAGTAAAAGCCATTGTCCCTACTACAGTGGCTTAGGATGTTCTCTCCCTTATCCAGACTCCAGCATCCTGGCCACTCTCCTGGTGGGCAGCTCCTGAGTATCACCTCTGCTGGCTCCTCCATCTTCTCCTAGTATCCCTTGTTTCCCTCACTCCTTCATCTCTTTCAAGTCTGTTTTAATGTTAACATCTCAGTGTGGCTGTCCTACCTGTCCCCTACTTAAAATTGCAGCCCTACTCAGCACCCACCACCTCACTTTTTTCTCCCCTTCTCCATTCTACACTATATAATTTATTAGCAAATTACATGTTTCCTCTTACCAGGAGGGCAGAGATTTTGTAGTATCTGGACATGGTGTGCTCTCAGTAACTTTTTGTTGAAGTAATGAAATTTAACAATGCAAAAGTGATTCATAAATTTGTATGTTTTAGGGTAGGAGTGTCACAAAATTTCAATACAACACTAATTTTCAAAAGACCATGGTGTCTAAGGCACTTGACTGCTAACCAGAAGGCTGGCAGTTCAAACCCACCAGCCACTCCTCGGAAGGAAGGTTGGGCAATCTACTTCCATAGTGATACTGCCTCGGCAACCCAAGGAGGAGTCGCTGAGTCGGTCCGACTCAATGGCACATAACAACATGGTGATTTATAAAGATGATGTAGTAGTTAAGATACTTTTTAGGGAGCAATGGATTTGCACAAATACAAAGTTTCCTACCCCTATTCCAGACTGTAGCCCTCTCTGTGATCACAAACCACACCCCAAGTTCCAAACCAGTCTGCAGATCCATCCCATTCACAAGGGGATCGCAGAGTGGCATTCCCATTCCTACTTAACAAAAACAGTTCCCACTTTTGCAATTAAAGGAAAGGCAGATGATGAAAAAGCATCATGAACATTATGACGCTCAAAACATCACAGTGGGGATTATAAAGTGTTACAAAACAATGTGTATGAACTACTGAAAGTAAAATGAATCTGCTTTGCAGTTTCACTCAAATAATAAAAAGTTTAGAATAAAGCAGCCTAGGTTAACCCGTGTAACATGGTATAGCTTTAGTATTATCACACTTCTGAAACTGAACACCTGTGTAACACAGCCTAGGGGACCCACAGTTCCAGTTTGCCTGGGACTGCTAAGGTTCTGGGGATGTGGGACTTTCAGTGCTAAAACGGGGAAAGTCTTGGTTGGGACATTAGGCACAGATAACAGGATAAATAGGGCCTATCTTCCTAAAGCACCAATTTAACCCAAAGATTCTATAAGTCAGGTTTATGTAATCTATGTTTTTAAAATGTCAATACTAAGGTCTACTCTTCTAGATGTACAATTTGCATGAATTCCTAAAACAAAGACAACTTGGAGGGCACTTTCTGCTTTTTCCTCCACTGCTAGGTCTTTGGGGTAGAAATCCAAGCACACACAGCCAGTGACTCAGATCTGACTCATAGCAACCCCTCCTTGGGATTCTGAGGCAGTATCAATACGGATGTAGACTGCCCAATCTTCCTTCCAAGTGGCTGGTGGGTTTGAACCACAAGCCTTCTGGTTAGCAGTCAAAAGCCTTAGGTACTATGCCACCCGAGCTCCTAGAAATCCAAGCAGCACAGCTCTAATGCAGCCAAATCAACTCTAAGCTTTTCTAACTGAGGGTGTCTTGGGCACATGCCTTTCCTTACACCAATGTAGATGCTCCTTTGCATTGATTATAACCACCCATTCCCTCCTACCATTGAAGAGATGTCAAATTACTCAAGGACCATAACATGCTGGTTTAATCCCTACAGTCTTGTGGTGTGAGTCAAGTGCCAGCAAGGATGTGCTCAATGTCCCTCGATGCCTTTGAGCTTTCACCTTGTGCTTACTTCAACTGATGAACAAAACAGCTCCAGCATTGTCAGCCCTAGTGCCACAGCAGAGTATGCTGAGAAATTGCCAGTGTCAAATTAGTATCAATTCACTTGTTTCAACACAGGTGAGTAGGCTGTCCACTGAACAAAGGAAAAGTCTTATATTCCAATACCAAAAAAATTGAGAAGCCCCCAGATAAAAGCCTAGATTTGCCTACCCAAAACCCACCCTTCCCTTGACACACAGAAACCAGGGGAGGAAAAGTCAGTCTCACGTGATGCCAGCAGAACCCTTGTGAGGAGAAAGGATTTGCCCCTTGGCAGGGAGACCACAGCCCAGTGGAAGAAGTTGTACATGGGTAATCAAAGTTTGAGTGCTCTCAGTGTCATACAAATACTGAATTGTGACAGATGTATCCCCAGCCTTCAGATGCAGCATTTAATAGAAGCCAAGAGACAGAATACCAAACTATATTTACTGTTTACAGTAGTAAAGGACAACAAATAATGTACAAATTGGTGAATAAACACAATAGAGCCAAGAAACATCCCACCTCTGACCACACAGCAAACTGCAAAGGAAACAACATTTTCGGCAAGATTTCAACAAGCAAGAGATGGCGGGTCATGTCACACCGCCAAGTGACTACAAAAAGAAAATGGCCGTCAAGCAGTAATGAACCCTTACTGAAGGACAACAGGCAGAACGATGAGACTTTTTAATTGGTATAGATCCCCAAATAGTTCACAGAACTGAAATCACCATACTAATGCATAAATTCAATACATATTTGGAAAGCAGCATAGCAAAAATCCGTGAGAATAACATGAAATCATCTTTCCAAAGGTTTCATTTGTCACTACACTTCAAAGTAGCTCTTGTACACAACAATGTAACTGCAAATTCAGCAATACTTAATCATACTTTTTTATATATAGACCATTAATTATTAATCAGAAGCAAATACTAGAAGAAATCTGAGGCCACAATACTATTACCAAATGGGAATTGTGGTCATTATTTTCTCCTATCTGAGAAAAAGGGAGAAGCCAATTGAATTATGCAGTTGTTGCCCGCTACACTGATCAATAGGTACTGAGCAGTGGTGGTGGTGACCCTGGGCCACAAAGCCCCACAGGGACACACTCAAGGGGCAAGGACTGTGGAGCCACACTAGTAAAGGACTCCACTGTTTCCCTTGTTTGCCTTTTAAGAAGCATCCCAATATTTTCCCTTTGACTTTACCATATTCTGACAAAGTTTAAATTTGCGATAGTTAGCTAAAATTTCATAACCTGTGCCTACAACAAATATCAAGTGAAATTTTGTCTTCTATCCCCACCAGGCTCCCAAAACACATGTCCAGGAGAAGCACTCACTACACTGCACATGAGCTATCTACATAATTAGATGAAGCAGTGGGAGGAGGGAGGTTCACAACACCTGGGGACAAGATCTCCATCTGCAGACTGAATATGGAAAGTTAGGCCACAAGTTTTGGGGAAAAGTGTTATAGGAGGGGAAAAAATAAAAACAAGCCCAAACCTCGCAACTCATTTTACCTAAACAAATATAGCAATTTGTATTGGCCCAATTTCAGTTGTAGATTTATCCCTGCAGAAATAGAGTTGAGTTGCACTCGAAGTACATCAAAGAGGAAAGTAATTTGGTGGCCATCCTCGAGTTTCCGCAGACTCCTTTGTGTTGGTGTGTTCACATGTTTACTACTGGATCTCAAAGGCAAGGACAGGTGACATGGGTGTGGAAAGGTCCCCCGCTAGACGCCACATCCTGAGAGGCCTCCAGCTGCCTGCATGCCACCCGTCTGCTGCTGGAACACATCGATCGTGTCTTCATCCTCCATCTCCAGCTGTCAGGATCATTGGAACATGTACAGGGAGAAAGGGGAGCCTTGTTACTTATTCATGTTAACCTGTTTATCCAGGAACAGAAAATGCTCACCACTTTATTATGCCTTTGCTTTCTTATCCTTCCCTCCTTATATAACACGCAGGGAAACAATGGCTCGTACTGGGTTTATAATAAGCCCTATTTATTCATGAATTTTCCCCTAACATAACTCACAAAAGAGTCTTCAGAAGCTAAGAGTTTTAACTGACAAAGAAAAACTGAGTCTCATTGAAAAATAAACTGAAATATCTGAAATTTTTACTGAAAATTACACAAAATCAGGTTTCATGACACCACAACGTGGTTAACACCACACTGACTGGGACAGTCACAGGCATTGCAGGTCTGCTGGCTGGGGATGGCATTTATACGGGGCACGTTGCTCACCCTCTGAAGCCCAAAGCCAAAGGAAGCACACCAGGGTCCACCACAGTAAGGGGTCCATTGTGGGCTCTCCTGTGCCTTGCCTTCCCTTGCAAAGACCAGGGCAGAGATGTGCAAGCGTGCCCCGCATTGAGTCTTCTTTTCTGGCACGCAAGGAGCAAAACACCTACCCTGATCTGTCCCCATTCTCTGAATAAAAAGAACTCTGCCAACTCATAGACAGGGTCAGAGGCTGATGGTAGCAGCATTTCCCAGGAATGTTCTCAGGTGTGGAAAGAACAGTGTGGCTGGGCTCTCCACAGGCTGCATGTGTGGCCTGAGGAGTACCTGCCCTTCAACGCTTGTTCCAGCCCACCTCCTTCCCCCCAACCCCAGCTATCCCCACAGCACATGTACTTGCTCTCAGCAGCCTCCTCCCCATAGAGCCTTGCCCACAGTCCCCCACCCTATATTGACAGGATTTGATCTCTGAGAGTAGGCAGAAGTAAAGCCTCTTTACGTTTAGCCCTTTAGGGTTTTGCAAAAATATTTCCCACAATTCTGTAAAGAAGAAAAAACAGGTAGGATCTACATTGCACAGACAGAGAAAATAGTCTTGATGAGATTCAGTGGTTCAACCACAAGGTCACCCATGTGACAGATGGCAAGAGTGGCTGGGGAGTGTAAGCCCTCTACTTCCTGGTCCAAAACTCCTTTCACTACACTATGCTACACTAGAATAAGACACACCAACTCTTAAAGGTGTTTGTTAATCACAGAAGGACAAATATTAATTCATTATCATAAAAAGTCAAGGAAAGTTTTATATATAGAAGGAAACATTATTTATTGATTATCATGGTGGGAGGGGAGGGGAGGGAACACTGCAAAAGTAAAAAAATTAAAAAAGGTGTTTGTGTGCTAGATAAGTGCTTGTAAACATGCTGACGGCTACTGCTATATGACAGCACACTCTCCTTTCTATCCCTATTCCAATGCCTCAATGCTTAGAGGGCATGAGAAGCAAGCCAGTAATTTAGCTACAGACTGACAAAGACTGCAAAGTCAATGTCTAGATGACAAGTTGGCAGGGGCTCCTGCCCAGCCTCCCCAGAGAAGCCACCACTCCCCACTTCTCATTGTCCCTGACCCTGAACACCGCTGCCAGGATACTGGCACACAGGATACTGGCAGCACACACCAGTCTTCAATATGAAGGATAACATCTGACAATATATGCTTTCCTCATTTGAAAAACTTACCTTCAAAATTAAAAAATTAAAGATAATAATTAAAATAATCCTGTATGTGTATCAATCAAGAATTCTCAAACAACGGTATTCTAAAGGGTGATTACTCAAATGTGAATCAGAAGTAGCTCTTGAATATATACAAAGATGGCTCATACCTGTGCTGGAGTATCTGTTTCGTTAATTGGCTGCCCATCAAACCTGAATCTAATCTGTCTCATTGACAAGCCCTGAAAAGAGAAAGCAATTACCAGTAAACATTTGCAGATAGCATAGATTAATTCATAATATACTGATTTATGACCCAGTTAGTGACAAAAACTTGCATGTGGACCTACAATCTGTCACATGAGGCCCCAATACAAACAGCTTCAGAAATCACATCTCTAATGTCTTTTAGCCACTTGTCTCCTTCCTTAATTCAGCTTTAAGCTTCCTTCAGAAACTAAGCAGAATTTCTGTACTGTGGACACCAACAATTTCTCCCTTTAAGAAATTTCCAAAGACTAACAGGTCAGGTGACAAGGAGGGTTTGATACAGAGGCTACACAAATCTGGAAAGCACCAATGGGGACCCAGTTCTAGAGAGGACAGCAAGGCAGATGGGAGTGCTTCATCCAGGAGGAGCTGGGCAGTCCATCAGCATTCCAGGGAATGGGTGGCAAATGTTGGGACACATGACCATTTCATCAAAAAGCTTCCTGATTTCACTGCTAAAGATAAATGGAACTAAAATTTATATCCCTTGCTCCATCCTGAATCCAGCTCAATGATAGTCAAGGAACACAGAGACATAAAAAACAAGACAGAATGAGAGAGGAAATAGCTAACAGTCAAATCAAGAGCTCGAAGCCACACAGCAGTGGACAGGGTGGTCTGAGGGAAAATGAACCCTGAGGAGGCAGGGAAGGGTTGGGGCACCAGGACATAGAGCCTCAGGAGGGCAAGGGTCTCCATCTGAGAGGCCAAGAAGTAGCACACAGCTGGTTTTGGATGACTACTTAGAAGTTCCCATGCAGACCCCAATTCAGGGCCCTCTCTGGCTCCAAAAGGCCAGCTGTTCCTCCCATAGGAAGAGGCCCATCTTCAGGAGACATGGACTGAAGTCTGGGCTCAGAGATGCTGGTATAAGTGAGTCAGTGCTACCCACCTCGTTGCCTCTTCTCTGTCCAGCTGCACCCCCAGGATACCAGTAGCTGCCATACAGTCCAGGCAGGAGCCTCACTTACCCAGACTAACTCACGGACTCTGACATCTGGCAGCCCTTTCACATCTACCAATCCCAACAGGTCACCCTATGGGTAGCCTGTTGATCCCCAGCCCTCAGGCAAACAGAGCTTCCTCCAACCTTAGTACACAGTTCCTCAAAGGTCATTCAAGAACAGGCTTGAATATGTAAGAGATCAAAGAAGAAGGAAAGGAATGTGGAGGAAACAAGAAAAAAGAAGGAATCAGCAAACTCCATAGTAAGGAAGAAACAATACTACATCCAGAAAAGTTACTATTAGGGAAAAAAGAAGATTCAAAGAACTAAGAACTTCTGGAAATCAAAAATCCTAACAGAAACAGCAATTCCAGGAGGGATGCTGGGAAAAATCAAGCCCAAAGGTGACAGTGATTGATGTACCTGACTGTGTATAAGGGACTTATAGCACAGGGCATGACAGATTAATGGGCACCTATTACACACAGGAGTGCTGGTGCATAGTGCTTAAGGCATTTGACTGCTAACCAGAAGGCTGGTGGTTCAAACCCACTGACCACTCCTTAGAAGGAAGGTTGGGCAATCTACTTCCACAGTGATATTGCCTTGGTCGCTGATGAGTTGGATCCAACATGACAGCAGTGAGTTTTAGTATATACACACAGCATCATTAGCAACCAGACATAGAAAAATAATGGGCAAAGAGTCAGGTATGCCTGAAGTATACTATTGGCCAGTGTGAACAGTGTCTACACAGCCACGATGATATGATAGCACAGTACCGGTGTGAAGGGTGAGGGAAGGACAGCACATGAGGATGGGTGCACGGTAGTATCAGAAAGCTAAATCCTCACCACTCACAGACGGAAATAAACGGTGTCTAAACACAAAAGAAAGGAGCTCTGGTGGTGCTGTAATTAAAGCACTGGGTTACCAAATGCTCAGTGGTTCAAACCCATCAACTTCTATGTGGGAGAAAGATGAGGCAGTCTGTTTCCATAAAGATTTATAGCCATTGAAATCCTATGGGGCCATTCTACTCTGTACTATAGGTTCTATGATGACCTTGTATGACAGAATCAACTTGAAGGCAGTGGGTTTCATTTTTTAAATCGTTATTGTTAGGTGCTGTCAAGTTGATTCCAACTCACAGCAACTCCATGTGACAGAGTAGACCTGCCCCACTGGGTTTTCTTGGCTGTCATCTTTACAGACCACCCACCACTCAAGAATCTGGACTATATGAAGAAGAACTTGGCATCAGAATTGGAGGAAAACTCATTAACAACCTGTGATATGCAGATGACACAACCTTGCTTGCTGAAAATGAAGATAACTTGAAACACTTACTGATGCAGATCAAAGACTACAGCCTTCAGTATGGATTATACCTCACATAAAGAAACCAAAAATCTTTACAAGTGGACCAATAAGCAACATCACAATAGAGAAAAGATTGAGGTTGTCAAAGATTTCATTTACTTGTATCCACAATCAATGCCCATGGAAGCAAAAAGTCAAGAACAGACGACATCCTACATTGGGCAAATCTGTTGCAAGAGACATCTTTAAAGTGTTCAAAAGCAAGGATGACACTTTGAAGATTAAGATGTGCCTGACCCAAGCCATGGCATTTTCAATTGCCTCATATGCTTGTGAAAACTGTTGTTGTTGTTGTTATATGCCGTCGAGTCGGACGCAACTCATAGCGACCCCTTCTTGGGTTTCCGAGGCAGTATCACTATGGAAGTAGATTGCCCCATCTTCCTTCCAAGGAGTGGCTGGTGGGTTTGAACCGCCAGCCTTCTGGTTAGCAGTTAAGTGCATTAGGCACTGCTAGACAATGAATAAAGAAGACCAAAGAAGAATTGATACATTTGAATTGTATTGGTGAAAAATACTAAAAATACATGGACTGCCAGAAGAATAAACAAATCTGCTTTGGAAGAAGTACAGCCAGAATGTTCCATAGAATGAAGAATGGCCAGACTTTGTCTCACGTACTCCAGTCATGTTATCAGAAAGAACCAGTCCCTAGAGAAAGATATCATGCTTGAGAAAGCAGTTGTTATTGTTGGTAGGTGCTGTCAAGTCAGCTCTGACTCTTACTGACTCTATGTACAACAGAACAAAACACTGCCTGGTCCTGTGCCAGACTTGCAATCCTTGCTATACCTGAGCCCATCATTGCAGCCACTGTGTCAATCCATCTCGTTGAAGGCCTTACCCTTTTTCACTGACCCTCTACTTTACCAAGCATGATACCCTTCTCCAGGGAATGGTCCCTTCTGATAACATGACCAAAGTAAAGACCATAAACAAGATGGACTGACACAGTGGCTGCAACACTGGGCTCAAGCATAAGAAGGATTGTGAAAATGGCACAGGACCAGGCAGTATTTCATTCTGTTGTACACATGGTCACTATATGTCCGAGTTGACTTGATGGCACCTAACAACAACAATCTTTACAGAAGTAGATCACCAAGTCTTTTTCCAGCAGAGCTGATGGGTGGTCCTGACCCCTACATTTGTGGATGTAATCCCATCTGGGAATAGGGTTTTGTTATGTTGATGAGGATATATCAGTGTAGACTGTATTTTAAAGCAATCACTTTTGAAATACAGAAAGAGATTAGGCACAGAAGCAAGCCAGCACAGATGCAGAAGACAAATGCCACGTGGAGATCACAATGAACCAAGGAAAGAGAAGGAGAAAAAAACAAGGATTTCCCCCAGAGCAGACAAAGAGAGCCTTCCCCTACAGATGGCATCCTGAATTCAGACTTCTAGTCTCCTAAACTGTGAGAAAATAAATTTCTGTTCTTTAAAGCCACCTCTGGTGGTATTTGTTACAGCAACACAAAGAGGCAAAGTGTAAATCTGCTCCTACTAATATAGTATCAAAAGGTTGACAGGACTGCCTCTGAGGAGGAAGCTGAGGGCATATAACTGTGACAATATTCCTTATAAAGCAAAAATAGTAAGAGTGATCAAAGCTGAGAAGGCAGCATAAGTATAAAAGGGCACCTGACCTCTAACATCTGCAAGCACTTAGAAGGAAGGTGGCAGTGTGCCCCTAGTGTCTGAGTCTCAGTTGACATGCTGACTCCCCTCTGAGGAGAAGGCTCCTTGAAAAAGAGCCTGGTGAGTGCAGGGCTGGGTGAGAAGTACACAAGGTGAGCCAGACATCTTGTCACACAGACAGCAAGGGAGTGACCCAGACCACTGCAGCCAGAGGATGTAGGAGTTAACTGGGAGACCCCACTCGCCAACAGTGAGTCAATATGAGCTTTAATAAAACAATCCATAAGCTCAGAATGGAACAAAATAATAATCCCTACAAATATGCCTAACTGGTCAATGTGGAGGATGCTAGTAAATCAACGTGTTACTTTGAAAACTGGTAAATAACAAGGAAGAATCCAGTATTTTCTTGCCTTTCCTAAGCTACCGCTGAAGGTGGTCTCCTTACTGACGTGCTCCAGCTACTCCATGAAGGGGAACTCTAGAGCTGAGCTAGAACTTACCATTCCGTGCCCCCTGATGAACAGAATGAAGCACTAGTCACCAGCACCAGAGAATGATGCTATCAGGCAGAGATGGCAGCATGCCATGAAGTAGTCAGCCCAGGGAAAAAAATTGAACTGAAGTCTGATTAAGCCTCCAGGTGTAACCACTGGTTTACAGGGACTGAAAAGGATGTCAAAGGACACTCCATGCAAAACACCAGTGGATGCCAGCTCACTTGGGCAGAAAACAAGACAGTGAGGCTGAGCCCACCAATGCCTGATGACACTGTCATTACTGTCAATCTTTAAGGCAAAGGGCAGGGTCTCTGACATGGCCCTAGAAGCATACCAGCTGACCAGCCAGCACATACAACACTCACCTGTCGCTCACAGTAGGCCTTCATCAGCTTGCTCAGCGGTGTGTGCCTCTTGATTTTAAACTGGACGACAGAGCCATCCTGCCCAGCCACCTTCAGGTTGATGTGGTCATTCTCTGTTTTCACTCCCTCCTAAAAGAAACGGAGACTGGGTCTCAGAACTGCCTCACCAAAGACCAAAGATCGCACAGGCAAGTCCTAAGATAAATGTTGGGCATTTTTTGAAGTCAATAAAACAAACCTAATTCTTGAAGAAAACCAAAGACGCATGGAAACAATTAGTCCAAGGAACCAGTGGACCACACGAATCTGTCTCTATGACCATGAGACCAGAAGAACTAAATGGTGCCCAGCTACCACTGTCAACCACTCAGAAAGGGATCAGTGCAAGAGATCCTGGATAGAGTGGGAGAAAAATGTGGAAAAAACTCAAAATCACAAAAAAGACCAGGCTTACTGGTCTGATAAGAGACTGGTGAAATCCCGAAGCCTAGAGCCTCTAAATACCCTTCAAGCCTGGAATTAAACTCACTCCTGTGGCTTCCAGCCAAACAACAGGCAGGCATATGAGGTGAACATTTACACCAGGTTGGTACACTCCTTAGAAAATCAATCATGAGAGATCAGAAGGGCAGTATTTGCACAGGTAGGTAACTCAGGGGGAAGGTATGCATAGGAAAGAAGGACACAGGGAAGAGGTTAACTACAGGGAGGAAGTATGAAAAGAACTGTTACATTATGAGAATTGCACTCAATGTCATAAAACAAAATGTATATCAACTGCTGTATGCAAAATGAATTTGCTCTGTAAACTTTCACCCAAATCACAACTTAAAAAAACAAAAGAAAAACCCTAATTCTTAAAATCCTCCAATTTAGAACAGCTATGTGATTGCTTTATTTTGTACAGAATTTATTTTTAACACTACTAGTTAGACATATCCATGCAAAAAAAAAAAAAAAAAATACACTAAATATAACACAAATCCAGAGTCCACCTCACAGGGCACTAACTCAATGAAACAATCTGCTGAATAAATCTAGAAAGAAATTTAGAGAAAATCCATCTTTGCTTTTAAAATTACTCTTAAATGAAACTAGTAAAAGCACAGATACTTATAGTAAGGGACTGGTAAAGTAAAACAAAAACAGAACCAAATGATTTCACAGTTGGCAGGAACACTTGCATAGTGGAGTTTTTCAACGAGATCTTATCTGTACAGAAGCACCACCATTATCTTCATGAGGTGCCTTCTGGCTGGGCTGGAACCAACCAGGGCCAGGGAAACCCTCCTCCTTTCAAACAGTTCCATTTGAACAGTAATAATTCATACTATTTTATCTTTGCATAATCCATGATAAACTGAAAGCGATTGGACTGTTACATGCCCAGGTGTCTGGCTGCCTGGAAACAGACTCAAATTGATATAAAAAGCTCCTGCTAAGGGGCCACTTCATCTTTCCAGGAGTATCTTTGAGGATGGTGGCATTGCACCTCTAAATGGACAAGACTACCTCATTTATCTGGCACTATTTAGAACAAAGGAGTCCACAAGTCTTAAATGATGAGGCCGACCCCTTGAGGTGACTTGAGAAGGTGCAGAACTCTGCCCCAGGGTGTTGAAGACTGAACAGAATGGCCTAACGAGGGATGACTCAGCAGTAGGCCTAAAGATGTACTCTCACAAGGCAGCACTCATGGGGTGGCTGCACTCTCACCCAGCCCAAGGTTAGCCCACTGGCAGCCTCCTCCCACTCACAAGGTGACAGAGACCTCCCTGGTAGGTGAACTGGTGAGCTCAGACAAAGCATCAGCTCCTGCTCTCTGGGGCTGGACCACATGTGCAGGAAGCTGGGCAATGGAAGCAAGGGTTGCGCCAACAGCCAACCAGAGATGGAACAGATGGGGAATGCCTGTGAGATCCCCTTCCCCAAAGAGTACAGGTTCTTCTTCTTTTTTTTTTTTCTTTAAGGAAAAGATGAGGGTGTGTTCAAGATAGATCCACAGACCAGAAAAAAAGAAGAGGTGAGTCGGGTAGTAGTTTCAATCAGGCAGAGGGCCAGCAGAAGGATATTGGGTAGCTCACCCTCCATAGGCCTCTCCTCTCTAGTGTGAGGAGGAGAGTGTGAGTGGAAAAAATAAAAAGAAACCTGAAAACCCCACTGTAGTTCTTGATAGGTCCCATCACAGTAATACAGGGACAGGCAGGAACTCTACCCCTGGCCAAGTGGCTTCCTTCCCCCACCTTGTCCTTCCTCTCTCCAGGCCAAGGGGAGAGAGCACTACTGAGACATCCAGGGGCAGCAGCAGGAAGGGGCCAAGGGAGGTTGCAGTAGCATCTTACAATTAAAAAAAGTATGTATTTGTCTGGAAACAGACTCAGAGAATGACCACATGGCAGTTAAGTCTAAACATAGCTGAAAAAATAAATACCACACATAGTTCATTGAATTGAAGAGGAAACCACATACAATATTACTAATAAAAGGAGCTAAAATTTGGGCTAGAAAAAAGAGGTACTCAAACAACCCCAGCTAAAGAAAGGGTTTGGAAAAAGCTCTTCTACTGAGGTGGAATCCCAAATTAAAGGAAGGAATGGAGCTCATTGCTAAGTGGGCAGAAATTGTTTTCCTGGGCTCTGCTGCACTCCTCCAACGTCACATAGGAAGAGGAGGTCCACAAAGCCCCTCGTGCCTACACTTCCAGGCATACTCAGTCCAGTCCCAGCTGTCCCGATACTGCGATTTTGTTGTTGTTATTTGCTGTCGAATCGACCCCGACTCATAGCGACCCCTCCTTGGGTTTCCGAGGCGGTATCACTATGGAAGTAGAAAGCCCAACCTTCCTTCCTAGGAGTGACTGGTGGGTTTATTCACCTGTAAATCAGGATGGCTGGAGCTCTGGTGGCATAGTGCCTAAGGTATCTGACTACTAACCAGAAGGCTGGTAGTTCAAACCCACCAGCCACTCCTCGGAAGGAAGGTTGGGCAATCTACTTCTGTAGAGATACAGCCACAGAAAGCCGAGGGGTCGCTATGAGTTGCAATCGACTCCACAACAGTGAGTTTGTTTTTGTTTTTGTTTTTTATCCCCACCCAGATATCAGAGAAGGAAAAAGCTCATGTACAAAGCATTTAGCTAAACAGATCTTTCACTCTGCTGAAGAAAGCAAATCCCAATCACTTCAGAATTGTTCCCTTTTATTAAGTAGTAGTCCTGGTAGGATCCCTCCCAGGACAAGTTGGCCGACTGGTGAGGCACATATCCCAGAGGGCTGTGATGAGCAGTGAATGGGGGGCAAACCAGAACTCATGATGTGGAGTGGGGACCGCACACCCTGAGAGCTGTGATGGTGAATGGGGAACACGCACGGAGGTGAGACCGTTGTGGGCAGTGGGGAGAGGGCCCAGGCGTGATCGGGCATGGAGGGCGTGGGCGGGGCGAGAAGAAGGTTGTGCTAGGGAATAGGGGGTACGCACGGAGGGCTGGGGGTAGGCCCTAATGGGGAGCGGGGCACGCGACCCAAGAGTTCAAGCCTCTCAGAAACAGCGAGCTCCGGGCTCTGGGCGCGCGCCCCGACGGTGACATGACCCTGAGTCCGGGCCGCCTTTCCCATAGGGCGCACTGAGTGGAACTGAGACTCGACCCGGAGACGACCCCTGGAGAGAGGGGCGACCCAGAACTGCGGTGAGGGGAATGGAACCCCTGCGAAGATGCCCCGGCGAACACCGCCAGGGCCTGACCCCCCCGGCCACGTGCACGCGAAGGGGAGCAGAGGCTCAGACGACATGCAGTTCAAGCTGAAGGGGGATCCCGGCGGGGAGGAAGATGTTCCAGGCAAAGGGGACTCGATGTAGAGAATCCGAACAGGGGCAGAAGAGTTCTGGTGAGGAGGATCCAGGAGACGAAGGGACTGGCTAACAGCAGACCTGGCTCCCCGAGGCCTACAGGATCTCCTGCCGGGGGCGGGGCTCCAGGTTCGCTTCCCGGAGGCGGAGCTGGGAACAGGGAGGAGCGCGAGGCGGAGCGTCCCTGGGGTGGGGCGGGGCGTGGAGCGAGGCGCGCCACGGTCGCCGCCGGGCGGGGGAGGGGAGCGCACTGCGAGGGGGAGGGGAGAACCTGCCCGCGCAGGCCTGAGGCGCCAGGCCCGTCGGCACCGCGTTCTCCGCGAGCCCAGGAAGGCCGAGCCGCGCCGCGCTGACCACAGACGGCGCCTAAGCTCCCGAGATGGTAGTGGGTGCGGGAAGCCGGCGCGGGAAGCCGAGACCGAAGCGCGGGAAGCGGGGCCCGCGCCCGTCTGCCGGCCGCTTACCTTGGGCTTCTCCTCGGACATGGCTGCGCGGGCGGCGGCGGCGAAGGCAGGGGCAACGCCGGAGCGGGCGAGTCACGCTCTCAGCCCCGCCGCTCTCCCGCCGCAACTGCTCGCGGGGCCGCGCTTTGCCCCCCAAATCCCGGCCTTCCGGTAGGCCAGCGCAGGGGTCACGTGGTTGATGCGCGTGCACGAGGCGCGCGCCCAGGCCGTCGGGCGCGCGCTCGGCCCGGGACGTGTTTCTAGGCGGTTGGAAATGCGTCACGGGGCGGGACGGCCGCGCGCCCCCGCGGGCCTTCCGCGTCCCCGCTGGGCCTGGTTCTTTTACCTCCTCCGCCCGTTCTCGGTGTTTTCCTGGCCCCACTACACTGGCTTCTTGCGCCCCTCATGGTCCCACTCCTACAGCACTTGCATTGCCCTCGATCTTGGTCTCCTGTGCCTTAGTTCTTCCCGCCCTGGCGAGTGGATGTGCAGAGGGGCCTCTGTGCCAAGGGGTGTTGGGCCCCGCGCCAGGGCAGGTCGGTTCAAGGCACGCACAAGCCTGTTGCTATAGGCGACCCGAAAGCCCAGAGTCCTGTACCATCGTTCACCTGGCCATTCCCTCTCTTGGTGGCGCGCAGCCCTGGGCGCAGACACCAGCGGCGGTAGGAGGGGCCCGGACATCTCCAGTCCGGGGAGACCGCCTCGGAGGTGGGGACAGGCAAACAGCTCCCGTCTGGCGAACCTGGGTGAGGGGTGAATGGAGGCTTCGGGTGCAGAGACGCCCCTACTGGAAGAGGCTTCCTTCGCCCTACTGGAGTGTCATTTTGGGAAACGACCCAAAGTGGGACATTAGGGACACAGAGCATTGGGTTCACATAGAGCTCAGGTGGATAGAGGTATAGAAAGGGCATCCCTAAAGCAGGAATCAGGGGTAGGGGGCATCTTTCCTTCTCTCTGTCTACTTGCCACTCGGGCCTGATGCACTACTCTTCAGCCTCCTTCTCCCCCCTTATCTAGTCCCAATCTGAGTGAAAGGCACCTGTGGGGGAGAATGGAGCACAGGAGGCCACTCTCCTGACCCATTTTGCTTCATTTCTGAAATTCACATTCTGCCAGAGGCTGTCCTGGGCTCTCTACATTTAGTCCTCACAGAAACCTCTTTCACAGATGGACAAACTGAGATGCTTAGAAGTCAAGTAGCATGCCCATGGTTACACATCTGGTGAGTGGCATAACTGGGATTGGAGTTTGGGCAATTGGTCTGTGGGCTTACTCAATATGCTTTACTGTGCCTTGTGTGAAAGTGGAGTTAGACACAGCTCAGAGCAGGAGTGCTTGTGTGGACGAAGCAAGCATGCTGAAGAAGTCAGATGTATGGTCAGTATGTTCTGTCCTGTTCTTTGAGGAATGTATCTTTGGAAGAAGGCACTGGTTCTTCCTGTCCTCCCTGTCTCTAATCCTATTGCCGTCATTTGAAACAGGCCAAGTGTGCCAAGTATGGATCATCCCATCAAAGCCCCACTGCAGCACTCTAAAGCAGGGGCCCTCATGATCCCTATTTTGCCAGTTAGGAAACAGGTCTAGGGGGAGGGTGGATTGCATAAGGTCACATAGCTAGCAAATAGCAGGGCCCAGTCTTGAATGTATCTTAAACCCTTTCCATCCTGCTTGGGTGAAGCCTATTCAACTGGATTCCCCTCATTTCCTGTTAATATCATACAGCTACTGAGCCAAGTTCTCATGGTCTTTACTTCACAAGCCATCTTTGACTCTTAAAAATTCACTTTCATGTCAGGAACCACCATTTAGGAGAAAGGAAGGGGACTACGCAAAATTGATGATCTGGCAAAGTCTCTCAATGAATGTTGTGATGAGAGCCAAGGCCCCCATACCAGCCAGGTTCAAGGGTTTGATCCCTTTCATCCTGGAATCTGAACTGTGGCCATAATTTTCCAGAGGACACCCCATAGAATGGCCAGCTTTGATTGTGCTTCTGGAAGATAGGAACTACTAGGAACTAGATACTTCTAAGACAGAGGTGAATAATGGGGATCAGACCCCCAGATTGTTTGCTGAGATTTGATTTAGGGTGGGTCCCCACCAGCCACTCCTCGAAAGGAAGTCTGGGCAATCTACTTCCGTAGTACTACTGCCTTGGAAACCCAAGGAGGGGTCGCTATGAGTCGGATCCGACTTGATGGCAAATAACACCACCACAATGTTTAGAAATTGTCATACAGAATCAACTCTAAGACACCATCAATTGTAAAACAACATTATGTACCATGGTTTTTATATACACCCTAAATTATGATAAGCATGGATTGGAAAACTCGTTGTAATTTCAGAGTTGCTGAAGTGTAAAAAAAATATGCAACTTAAACTCAACAGCATAAGGACAAGCAAGCTAATTAAAAAAATGGGCAAAGGATATGAACAGACACATCACTGAAGAGAGCAAGTCAGGCAGCCAACAAATACATGAAAAAATGCTCACCCTCTCACCACTACTAAAATGGCACATCGATTTAGAAAAAAAGAAAGATGATGAAGATGTGGGGAGATTGGAGCTCTTAAACACTGCTGATGGGATTGTAAAATGGTAAAACGGCTCTGGTTCTATAGTACTTCCTCAAAAAGCTAGAAATAGGAATACCTTTTGATCCAGCAGTCCCACTCCTAGGTATATATCTGTGATGGTTAATGTTGCATATCATCTTGGCTGGGCCATGATTCTAAGTGGTATGATTCTAAGTGGTTTAGCAGTTACGGTGTATTCATTTCCCATGATAAGATCTGAATAATGTAATCACCTCCATGATGAGTTCTGCTATGAGCAGCCAGTGAGTGGAAAGGGAGTTTCCTTCATGGTGCAGCCTGCTTCCAATATATATGGGGAAGTTCTGGCTTTTTGCTTATTCTGGATCCTGCATCTGGCTCATCATCATCTCTGTTTCTTGGACTTGAACAAGTGGCCTGGCATATTGCCTGCCAGTTTTGGGATTATTGCCTTCACAGCCTGTGAGCCAATAGCCTGCTATCTTACCTGGCAATCTTGGATTCATCAGCCTCTGAAGCTAGCAGCCTGCTACATTGCCTGCCAGTATTGGTTTATCAGCCCCTGCAGCTACATGAGTCAGGAGAAGCCTCCAAGTTGACATATGAACCACAGATTTGGGATTTACCAGCCTCTGTAAATGGGTGAGCCATTTCCTTGAGATAAATTTCTATAGATAGATTTCACAGGTTTTGCTTCTCTAGAGAACCCAGCCTAAGACAATATCCAAGAGATAAGAGCAATGACATGACTAGACATATTCACACCTATGTTCATTTCAGCATAATTCATAGTATCAAAAATACGGAAACAAGTGCACATCAGTGGATGAATGGATAAACAAATTGTGGTACATACATACAATGGAATACTACACAACTATAAAGAATAATTGTCAGAAGAGCCCAGTCCCTGGAGAAGGATATCATGCTTTATAAAGCAGAAGTCCAGCAAAAAAGGGGAAGACACTCAATGACATGGATTGACACAATGGCTGCAATGATGATCTCCAGCACAGCAAAGATTGTGATGGCACATGATGGGGCAGTGTTTCATCTATTGTACATAGGGGCACTATGAGTCAGGGCCAACTTGATGGTGCCTGACACATAAAGGATAATGAGGTATCCATGAAACATAACATGGGTGAAACTATAGGACATTATACTGAATGAAATGAAATAAGTCAACCACAAAGAGAAAAATATTGTATGATCCCACTATTATAAAAAGTCAAGAATTCTGTTGTTGTTAGGTGCCATCGAGACATTTCCGACTCATAGCAATCCTATGCACAGCAGAACAAAACACCACCGGATCCACTCCAGCTCCATGATTCTTGCTATACTTAAGCCCATTGTTGCAGCCACCATGTCAATCCATCTCATTAAAGGCCTTCCTCACTTTTGTCAACCCTCCACCTTACCAAGCATGACATCCTTCACCACGGAATGGTCCCTTCTTACAACATGACCAAAGTAGGTGAGACGAAGTCTGGCCATTCTCGCTTCCAAGGAGCATTTCAGCTGCACTTCCTCCAGGACAGATCTGTTAGTTCTTTTACCAGTCCATGATACTTTCAGTATTCTTCACCAGCACCACAACTCAAAAGCATCAACTCTTCTTCAGTCTTCCTTATTCATTGTCCAGCTCTCACATGCATATGAGGTGACTAAAAATACCATAGCTTGTGTCAGGCACACATTAGTCCTCAAAGAGACATCTTTGCTTCTCAGCACCTGAAAGAGGTCCTTTGCAGCTGACTGCCTAGTATTATACGTCCTCTAATATCCTGACTGCTGCTTCCATTGGCATCGACTGTAGAATCAAGCAATGTGAAGTCTTTGACAACCTCAGTCTTTTCTCCATTTATTGTGATGCTGCTTACAGGTCCAGTTGTGAGGATTTTTGTTTTCTTTATATTGAGATGTAATCCATACTGCAGACTGTGTTCTTCAACCTTCATCAGTAAGTGCCTCAAGTCATCCTCACTTTCAGCAAGCAAAGTTGTGTCATCAGTGTATTGCAGGTTGTTAATGATTCTTTCTCCAATCTTGTTGCCATGTTCTTCATATAGTCCAGCTTCTCTGATTATTTGCTCAGAATATAGATTGAAAAAGTATGGTGAAACGATACAACCATGATGCACTTCCTTCTTGATTTAAAACCATGCAGTGTCCCCTTGTTCTGTTTGAACAACAGCCTCCTGGTCAATGTACAGGTCCCTCATGAGTACAATCAAGTATTGAGGAATTCCCATTATTCTCAGTGTTATCCACAATTTGTTATGATCCACACAATCAAATGCCTTTGCATGGTCAATAAAACACAAGTAAACATCTTTCTGGTATTCTTTGCCTTGAGTCAAGATCCATCTGACAGCAGCTATGATATCCCTTATTCCACGTCCTCTTCTGAATCCAGCTTGCACCTCTGGAAGTTCTCTCTCAATATACTGCAACCGTTTTTTAATTATCTTCAGTAAGATCTTACGTGCGTTCAATATTAATGATATTGTTTGATAATTTGCACATTCTGTGGGATCACCTTTCTTTGGAATGGGTACAGATAT